GGGAAATTTGAGGGGGAAAATATGGGGGGAAGGAGGAGGGAAATCTGGGGGGGAGGAGGGAAAGTCTGAAGGGGAGAAGGAGGGAAATTTTGAGGAGGGAAGGGGGGAAAATTGAGGAGAAGGGGAAAAATATGAGGAGGCAAAGGGGGGAGAGTCTGGGGAGGGGAAGGAGGGAAAATCTAAGGGGGAGAGAAGAGGGAAAATCTGAGTGGAAGGAGGGGGAAATATGTGGGGAGAAGGGGAAAATCTGGGAAGGAGAAGGGGGGAAAAATTGAGGAGGGGAAGGAGGAAAAATCTGAAGGGAAGGAGGGAAAATCTGGGGAGTAGAAGGAGGGAAAGTCTGGGGAGAGAAGGGGAACATTTGAGGAGGGGAAGGGGGGAAATTGAGGGAAAATCTGGGGGGGAGGAGGGAAAATTTGAGGAGGGAAGGAGGAAAAATCTGAAGGGAAGGAGGGAAAATCTGGGGAGTAGAAGGAGGGAAAGTCTGGGGAGAGAAGGGGAACATTTGAGGAGGGGAAGGGGGGAAATTGAGGGAAAATCTGGGGGGGAGGAGGGAAAATTTGAGGAGGGAAAGAGGGAGAAGAAGGGGGAAAGTCTGAGGGGGAAAAATTTGAAGAGGGAAAAGTGAAGTTAGGAGGAGAATCTCAGCTTGGGATGGGGTTAAGTGGGAATAATTAAGGGAATAATTAAGGGAATTCATGAAATAGAAGGCTCTACTCTCACCTCCCAGTAGGTAATTTTATTCAGCCTGGTCCTGAATTATTTTAATTCTTGTTTTCTCCTAAGGGGGAAAGTCTGAGGGGGAAAAATTTGAAGAGGGAAAAGTGAAGTTAGGAGGAGAATCTCAGCTTGGGATGGGGTTAAGTGGGAATAATTAAGGGAATAATTAAGGGAATTCATGAAATAGAAGGCTCTACTCTCACCTCCCAGTAGGTAATTTTATTCAGCCTGGTCCTGAATTATTTTAATTCTTGTTTTCTCCTCCTGGAGGTTTGAAGGGGGTTTTGTTGTCAGGAACTGGGTTTATTTTCATCAGCAAAGGAAGAGGTTTGGGTCTGGAAATAGAAATGTTGAAGTAAAGGCTAAATTTAGCAGTAATGGGTTGGTTTGGGTGGTGGGGCTGAGTTGTGGTGCATCCCAGAAACTCAGTGTTTGAGGAGCCAGAAGGAGGGAATTCCCATTGCCAAGGAGGAAATGGGAGTTTGGGAAAGTTGGGAGGCAAAACTGCCAGGAAATGAGGGGGGTTTTGGGGTGGAAAGGAGGGGGGTTTTGGGGTGAAGATGAGGGGGGTTTGGGGGTGAAAAGGAGGGGGGTTTTGGGGTGAAGATGAGGGGGGTTTGGGGGTGAAAAGGAGGGGGGTTTTGGGGTGAAGATGAGGGGGGTTTGGGGGTGAAAAGGAGGGGGGTTTTGGGGTGAAGATGAGGGGGGTTTGGGGGTGAAAAGGAGGGGGGTTTTGGGGTGAAGATGAGGGGGGTTTGGGGGTGAAAAGGAGGGGGGTTTTGGGGTGAAGATGAGGGGGGTTTGGGGGTGAAAAGGAGGGGGGTTTTGGGGTGAAGATGAGGGGGGTTTGGGGGTGAAAAGGAGGGGGGTTTTGGGGTGAAGATGAGGGGGGTTTGGGGGTGAAAAGGAGGGGGGTTTTGGGGTGAAGATGAGGGGGGTTTGGGGGTGAAAAGGAGGGGGGTTTTGGGGTGAAGATGAGGGGGGTTTGGGGGTGAAAAGGAGGGGGGTTTTGGGGTGAAGATGAGGGGGGTTTGGGGGTGAAAAGGAGGGGGGTTTTGGGGTGAAGATGAGGGGGGTTTGGGGGTGAAAAGGAGGGGGGTTTTGGGGTGAAGATGAGGGGGGTTTGGGGGTGAAAAGGAGGGGGGTTTTGGGGTGAAGATGAGGGGGGTTTGGGGGTGAAAAGGAGGGGGGTTTTGGGGTGAAGATGAGGGGGGTTTGGGGGTGAAAAGGAGGGGGGTTTTGGGGTGAAGATGAGGGGGGTTTGGGGGTGAAAAGGAGGGGGGTTTTGGGGTGAAGATGAGGGGGGTTTGGGGGTGAAAAGGAGGGGGGTTTTGGGGTGAAGATGAGGGGGGTTTGGGGGTGAAAAGGAGGGGGGTTTTGGGGTGAAGATGAGGGGGGTTTGGGGGTGAAAAGGAGGGGGGTTTTGGGGTGAAGATGAGGGGGGTTTGGGGGTGAAAAGGAGGGGGGTTTTGGGGTGAAGATGAGGGGGGTTTGGGGGTGAAAAGGAGGGGGGTTTTGGGGTGAAGATGAGGGGGGTTTGGGGGTGAAAAGGAGGGGGGTTTTGGGGTGAAGATGAGGGGGGTTTGGGGGTGAAAAGGAGGGGGGTTTTGGGGTGAAGATGAGGGGGGTTTGGGGGTGAAAAGGAGGGGGGTTTTGGGGTGAAGATGAGGGGGGTTTGGGGGTGAAAAGGAGGGGGGTTTTGGGGTGAAGATGAGGGGGGTTTGGGGGTGAAAAGGAGGGGGGTTTTGGGGTGAAGATGAGGGGGGTTTGGGGGTGAAAAGGAGGGGGGTTTTGGGGTGAAGATGAGGGGGGTTTGGGGGTGAAAAGGAGGGGGGTTTTGGGGTGAAGATGAGGGGGGTTTGGGGGTGAAAAGGAGGGGGGTTTTGGGGTGAAGATGAGGGGGGTTTGGGGGTGAAAAGGAGGGGGGTTTTGGGGTGAAGATGAGGGGGGTTTGGGGGTGAA